AACGCTTAACGTCATGCTTGCATGCATTGCACATGCTTATCGTATTCAGTTTGATCATCATACTGTTGTACAGCATTGTTGCCTTCTCTCACCTTTATCCGTTCAGGTTTATCATAGGAGCGAAACAGCTGATTTTGACACCGATCGCGATTGGCCTGTGCATAGCTAAGGTTCTGACCTCGACCCTATTTGGAATGAAAGCTACCGCTGAGAGAAATCCGAAAATGATGGCCTTCATTGTGTGGACATCGCTAAACTTGGCCATTTTCAACATTATAGCAGCGTCGACCATCCATGGACGTGTCCTTGGTTCACAGCAATCGACCCTGACCAATTCTCTCTGGAAGCTAATGATGACTTACGAATCGAACGATGAATGGGCAATTGAGCAGCTTAACAACTTGCAGCAGGAATTTGAATGTTGCGGAGTTCAGAATCCTCAAAGTTGGCTAGAACTTATTAGCCAAACTTCTAAATGGTCTCAGGGTATTCCGTGGAGTTGTTGTCGGTTAGAAATGAAAATCAGTTTACCCTGTTTGCATTCCAATTACTACCTGCTGCTTGACAATCTCTACTTGAACGAGTCAACTATTTATGAGGAAGGTTGCGACACTGCCATCAATAAAATGACAAACTCTTGGCTACGTCCAACTGCTTGGGGACTACTAGCAGTCGGATTTGGTCAATTGCTGGCGACCGTTCTCATGACTTACCTGCAAACATCTCTAATAGAAATGTACTTGAACGACAAAGACAAAGCTAAGGGTTACTTATTCAAATATTGAAACCTATGTGTATATGCGCATGTATTAATAAAATTATGATAAAGTTTATAAAATTCAAAATATTCATATTTTCATCACGCACAATGATTGAAGTTTGTCGTCTGCAAGAGTCCCCAAAGAAAACGCAATGAATTATTCAAGCATTTCATCTAGCCCAAAAAAGGAAAATGACGACTTATGAAGAAAATAGGAATATTTCAACAGTATCTGATGGATCATTTCAACAATTAATAAAGGAACAGCATCCTTTGTGCAGTATGGAGAGTCAGGATTTAGAAGATCTGGCACTAGCAGCGTTATGAGAAATTCTGCATTCAGCGGCTGTCCTTCTGACAAGTGATGAAATCTGTTATTGTTACTTTCTAATACAACAAAGATTACTCTGTGTACAGTAAATTTAACGTTGTTTCTTGATCCAGCGGTGATAGGACCTAATCTTTATATATTGGAGATTCATGTTTTATTTAGAGGATCGATATTTCATATCTACCGCTTAATTTGAGCAAAATGCTTGAATGTTAAATGTTAAAGTTCTTAACAGTAAGCACCAACCTGAGCTGTTACATGACCGACCCATTTAGTGACTTCGGAAAGACTAGTCAGTTACCTCGAGGTGATTGAAGTGATCTGTCAGAACGGTATCTAAGCAAGAACACGAAAGTCATATTTATGACAATAAATGAGCATATTATAGGCACTGTTCCGCTACTGTAAAATAAACTGTCCTTGAAACGGTTACTACTTCAAAGCCTTTTAAATTATATAACTCTCAGGATATGTTTAAGAATCCAAAAGGTTAATACACTTTAGAAAAGCTCACGTAGGAAGTTTCCAGTCGCGTTTCTATTCGCCGGTCGATCTCTTCCTCCAGCTTTCCATCACTAGTAAATATAGTTCCGAGGTACTTGAACTTCT